GCTCCAACGGTAATTATTCTAATCGATTCCGCCTATCGATGCGTTTGTATATTGCGATGTCAATTGTACTAGAAATGTTACTGTAAAACTGGTCGAGAATAGGTCTCATTTTTTTAGATGGGCTAGTTCTAAATATTCTTCATACTAATCATACTATTTATACTAATATTATAAATGCGAGAATATATAATAGTATTTTTTTATATCATAAGGTGGCAAACAAGCGAGCGGCCACCTGAAATAGCTGTAACAGCGAAGTGACCGTTGCCCATAGACATACGCAATTGCATATGCGTTGCCTACCTTTAATCGACAGAGGAGATGATGCACAGAAAGAAAACATTTCCATGCATCCTCTCATCCGGAAAGTCCACTTCCATTTCCCATCCTTTCCTTATAAGAAAAGGGAAGAAGGTATGGACGCACACTCATCAGACGAAACGCGGAATTGCTTCCACTTCACGCCTGTTTCTGTGTGGTCATGGTATTTCATCGGGCGGTATGATATTTAAAGCGGGCTCTACCACTGTTAAGTAAAAAAAATATGAAAAGGTATATTCAGAACGGCAGCATGGATCTCGCTGTTTGGCATAGATGTAGAACATAGTCTGGAAGAACGCATATACTACTAATTAAGTTTCTTTACTCAAAATGAATTAATAAGAATGATATACATACAATTGATTATTTGCTTCATATTAATGCGAAAAAATTGTACCAGAATAGAAAATCCGACATTTTGAATTCTCAATATTGCAATATGTATTGTTTGTATGTGTTTATTGAAAAAAATTAAAAGTAAATTTTAAGATTCGAGTCTTTTGTCTTAAAGTAAAAATAAGAGTCATTTTTAAAATTGACTAAAGTTTAGCCCTTAGCTGCGTCCACTGCAAAAGGCCGGAAGATGTCATCATTAAAATGTCGTCAACGTATCTCACAGAGAGGTTTGCGATTAGGTGGCCAAGATTAATGACATCCTTTGATACTTGTTGCGAGTTACCATACATTGCTTTGTTTTTTTTTAATCTCTATGTTAATTGAAGTGACAGACTTTACCGATCGGTGTTAATAGGTTGTTTGGATTAGTTTGTATGGGAAGGATGGAGGAAGTTTGTATGAAAAAGGATCCATCGTTTTCTAGACCAAATCTTTCTATTCCTATTATTACTACTTATTTCCAATTCTAATCTTAGTAATATTATAAATTCGAATATTTGGATGGATCGATGGATGGATGGATATTTGTTAGAAAGTATCTCCAGAAAAAAAAAACATGCCGGAAAACATCGTGATTCAACCTGTACATATCTGAGAAGAAATTCAAAGATTTGTGTGAAGTGAACCAACCCGCACTTGGCTAGCGTGGTTGACTATGGCCTAGTCACCACTAACTTAGGGTAAGCTCCGAGCCCCTCGGTGAGGACATATAGTGAAATGATGATGAATGAAATCTCCAGAACGGCTGCATGAGTCTAGCTGAAATTTGGCATATATGTAGAATATAACCTGGAAGAAAACATAGACTAATTAAGTTTTTTTTTAAAATGGTGGTGACGAGTTTCGTGTGTTCTAAAACCATCCTATTTCTTAATATGATTAACACATATTTAATGATGTAGTAAAAGTCTTACCCTGTAAAATTGAAGTCTTAATTAACGTAGAATGTTTTCCAAAGTTTTCTAAATAAATCACTTATTCGACCTTAAAACAGTCGTTTGAAGTATTACGAAGTTTGTTTCGTGAAATAAATTAATTAGTAACTTAAACATATTTCATTAGATTTAATTTTTCTGTTGAATCTTTAAAATTAAAATTAAAAAAAGTTAGAAATATGTATAATATGATAATCCAATAGAAATTGTCAAAAGATAAAGACTTATTTTTCAACCAATAACTCGTCAATATTCATTGTTTCTTCACTATTTTTAAGGTTTTTTTGTTAAATCTTGATTTGTGTCAGTAATTAAAAGAAAGAAATAGGACACTGATAATATAACTAAGTAAACCCGTTTAAATGTTTAAAGTTAAATTAGATTGATTTTTTCACGTCTTTCTTAAAGTTGGATTTTAATTATATTTATAGATATTTCATGTAATTATTTTATTACGAGCGGAAACAAAGGATAACTATCTAGTAATTTTTCAGTAAGAAATTTTAGTCGCTTTTGATCACAAAATATGCACACAAATACTGGATGCATTTAAAATATTATTTAGGTCGTACGTGAGAAATTTAGTAACATGTATAAGATAATTTTGTAATTGCTTTTTCGGACAACAAATAAATATATTAAATGGGTAATAGTCATTAACGGTAGTAATTTATGGGTAAATTAATTGATCTCGTTAAAATAAGAGTCGCCATTCCAATTGTGAAATAAAGCGCGGTCGACGAAAACCAAAGCGCAGGCTGTTGCGGCCAAATAATTTTATTGCACCGTTGCACTGCGTCGCAAATCATATTTATTCGACTATTATATCCCTTTAAATTCTACCATTCATAAAAAGATTTAAAAAACATTTAACAATTTTGTTTTTGTTAACTGCCAGCTTCATTTAACTTTAAATTCGTTTTTTATTGATTTTAATCGTCTTGTAAAACCTGATTAAAACCTATTTACGAATAAGCAATGCTATCTAGTTTTATAGTTACATTTAGTTCGACTTATTTTAATGTTATAAAGATAGCAACCATAGATTACATAAAGCATGACCTAAATTCGCCATTAGAATGCCAATAAAGACTGCAGATGTTCTGGTTTTTGCTTCGACACATTTTGTTGCGGCGATTAGCGAACCGACTGCAAAACAACAAACTAAAAAACGAGAAAAAGGTCTGAGCTGGCGGATATAAACTCGCCTATTTGGTTCTCGAATCTTAACTTTTTATAATAGATCTTTTAATACGGTTTATTAAATTGTTATTTATATTCCAAGTAAGATTGAGTTTCTTAATTGTTATACATTTTTTACTTGATATTATATATTTTTTCATAAAATTAAATCAATATTTTTTATATTAGAATCCGATTTCAAAAATTCATTTTTTTGTCCGATAGTCGATTTATATTATAGAGGAAGGCTTTATATATATAATATATAACATTACGCTGCAACCAAGAGTTTTTGTAATTCCGCGCGGACGGTGTCGCAGGCGACAGCTAGTTTTGTTTATAAAAATGTAAAATATAGCTCAATGGAAGAATAGCTTTACTAATTATTTTAGTCGATATTAATGAGGGGATTGTTCCGTTTGACCTACATTGTTGGAATTCGTATTGAATAGCGTAATATAATAACTTGATTTGTGTACTGTTATTGATTACGTATACCATATTTAGTACAACTTTAACGAAGCATACAAAAGTAATTGCCATTTTAATTTAATCTAAAATAATTAAAATTGCCATCGAAAAATATTAGACTGCTTTGAGTTTAATTTAATATGTTGGTCAGAAGTGAATTAAAATTCTCGTCTTGGATGGATATAAAAAAATGGATGTTGCGGCTTGCCTTTTCGATATAAAAATCATATAGGTAAATCTACTTTAAATACAGTCGAAACTGGATGAGCGAGAGTCCAAGGGACCGCGATATTTTTCTTGCTTATAGAAGTTTCTTTTTTACTGAGTTTCTCGCTTATGAGGTTCGTCCTTCGGACCCGGATAATGACTCTCTTTTAAAGAGGCTTCTCGCTTATCCAGTTTTTGCGTATACAGGTTTCACTGTATATTTAAATCCGTTTCTAAAATATATATTTTTTGTTCAACCGATTAACAAAGCCACGAGCTTACCATCTGTCAAAAGTTAATCCGAATAATTTTGACGAGAGGTGGGTTCGGAATTCTGATACCTTAAATATAGCCTCGCATTTGAGTTTATCTAAACGTGTTTAAGGAAAGACATTTTTGAAGTTCAGAGTACAAACAGTTGTTAACACACTCCAAACAATTGGAGCTTTACATCGACTTCAAATTAATCAAGATGAATGATGCAAAAATACGCTACAACTTTTTTAAGTGGTTTTTTTCTTACACTATTTATTAAAATCTTACTATGATTAATTAATTAATATTTTAAATGCAAATGTTTAGATGAGTGGATGGATGTTTGTTTGAAGGTATCTACGGAACGGCTGTAGATGCAGAGCATACTCTGAAAGAATATATAGGCTATAAAATATTTTATTTATTCCAAGCGGACGGAGCCGCGGACGACAGTTAGTGTTGCATAAAAACATAGTCACGTGCACTATTGCATTCGGTGTGGAGATATTTTGTCGTTTTAGCCACATTAACATACATTTTGGTTTCTGTATAGAAATGGAATTGCAATTGGCATCATGCCAAAATGTGTGGTTAAGTCGGCGTCAGTAGAAATATTTGATATATGAAGTAAACCGATTTATTTGTTCACTACGTAATTGAGTTTACCGAATCTCATTGATTTATTTGGCACACTTCTCAGGGAAATGATACAAGATAGCTAAGTCGTAGATAATAAGTCTAATTATGGTACATACAGGCTCCAGATGACCAATGTCGAATTTTAGTGTTATTGGAACTAAATTTTGAAAACAAATTTTAAGTCCGTAACGCGTTTTGTTGCTCGTGGATTAGAAACTTACAAAGGAATTACTTTGACAGGTCTTTTGGATGACCGTTTAGTTAAAAGGTGCCGCTTTGTTTGTAGAAAATTATATTTAAAACAAAAGTCGTGTTCATGTTTTATAGGATTATGATATTTAGAGATATTCTTTTTGTTATTTATATGAAAGATATACACAGCCTCATGTGTAACCACGACATGATAGTTGAAATCAATCCTAAAATCTGTTATGTACTTGATACGAAGCTGAATAATAAATATGTCTATGTCATACACAAGCATATTGTAGTCGTATATACATAAGTACTAGACATTGAGGTGCTTTATGTAATGCCTTATTATAACGGCTTTATGTTACAATGATATTAAAACCTATTTTTATTTTGTTTCAGATTACTAGGACCAGAGGCACAAATAAAACTATAAGAAAACGCGACTTTTACAATTTTATCAAGCTTATATAAAATTCGAGCAAACGACAAAGCGCCTTCATTCTACAATCAATTATATTAGTAAGCTAGCACTAGGATTATTGTTAGGATATTAATTTAAAAACAAGTGCCAAGACTGTTTGTGTGACTGCGAACTGCTGAACTGCTGGTGTGTTGAGCGAACTTTAAGTTACGTTAGTGCAAGTGTCTTATTTGTGAATCGCGATCGATGCGTGGCTGCGTCGTTCGCGACTGCCGGTAGAGGGCGTTATTGGAGCCGGCAAGATTGAGGTGGTGGCCGGGTGCGGTTGGGGCAGGCGCGCGCGCGTGCGGCCGCTGCACGCGCTGGGCCGCGCGGCCGGAATGTTGGCGTCACAACGCTCACAATCGTGTAACGAAGAGGGCGCGTTTTTCGGCGCGCGCGCGCTGCGTCGGCCGCGCGGCAAGGGCAGCGGTAGTCCGCCTTGCTAGGGGTACGCTATGTCGCTGCGCAGCCTGCACCGGAGGCTCTCCTCCGCCAACAACACGTAAGTTTTGTCACCTACATACCTATAGTTACGAGTATGTTGCAAAAATGTAAATATCCAATGATTATAACATTATCCAGTCCAGCAATCAAAATCAGGACCCGCACAAAACCACAGGAGCCGACACAGTGCATTCCAGCGTATAATTATATTTTCCAACTTGTAATCCAGTACTGATTTTGATCTTGAGGTTTGTTGGCGTATGCAAAATATTAGTACTTCTTATTCTTCTTCGTATTCTTCATTAGTAAAGGTCGTGCTTGCCTCGATATGCTTTAACGGCTTTGTCGACCAGCTTTCTCCATATTAGTAGCAGGCTACGCTAAATTATTTAACGAAATATAATACAATCAAATTGGGCAATTTTGACGCTTTTGTATGACTCGATTTTATTAAAAAACTAGGAAAAAAACTATTGTCGGAAAACATGAACATTCCTGTATGAGTATCACTTTATACGACTATGTTATTGTTGACCTCTTTCCCTGTTTGCATTCGAACAAGTAACTTGATATTGCATCAGCTGTTACGGAATAGATTAGACATGTTGTTCCGGAAACTGTGGATCATCTGAATAATATTGTGGTGCTATAAATTTTAGTGCTTCTTGTACCAATACTACGTGAAGCGTAGACTTTGTCTGTCTTTGACTGCGCATATCTTACCGATTAGATATCCTTGTATATGCGAATGTTTGGATGGATGTTTGTTTGAAGGTATCTCCAGAACGGTTGAACGAATCTCGATGAAATATAGCATAGATGTAGAACATAATCTGCAAGAACACATAGGCTATTAATTAAGTTTTTTACTTGATCTGTATGGACGGAGTCCACTTTATAAACACTAGATTCCTTGTCCCTATATTCATTAGATAAACTGTCTGCATATTATAGTGTTATAGCTTATTGCTTAGTTTTTACAATTTAGTTTTTTTCCTTAATTCCGCGCGGACGGAGTCGCGGTCGGAAGCTACTTTATGTTACTTTACTTTATATCAAAACGATTGTTATTGAATTTCAAAATATTGACTATAAAACCGATTATAGTGTCCAATGGTGTACATAACTGCTTACAAGTTGAAATGAAAGCAGAATTAAGGATTATCCCGCGTTTAATCTGCTTTGCTTTCAGATTAAACGCGCTCAAACTACGTGTGTTTATTACTGATTTATAGGTGTTGTTTGTTTATTATTAAGTCTATATTTTATAGAGAAAATATATTCTAAAGGATTACAATAATGTTGATTCTTACAATTACGAATCTACGTTTTTATTGGATCCTTCTTAGTTCTAAATAAGTTGCTATTTGCAATGTTCTTGTTCTTTATATCAGAAATCTTACTAATATTATGAAATTATTCAAACTTTTGTGAAACATTATACTAAACTGATATACAAACGGCTAAACACTCACGTATATTCATCCGGTAGCGGCAGCGTTTTTTATCAGTTTAATATTATAAATGCGAAGGTTTAGATGGATGGATGTTTGTTAGAAGGTATCTCTGCAACAGCTCAACGGATCTTGATGAAATTTGGCACAGATGTAGAAAACAGTCCGTAAGAAACCATAGTCTACTATTAAGTATTTTTAATTCTGCGCGAACAGAGACGCAGGCAACAGCTAGCCCATAGTTGCAAAGTAATTGGCATTTTCCGCATACCCTTCTTACGGCGCCCGAGGGACTTGATTGATGGATACGCATAATCGACATTCACGTCACATTTACAAAGAGCAATACAGCTAAGCAATAAGCTATTACACACTAATATACAGACAGTTTATCTTATTAATATACGGTCAAAAAATCTTGCATTTATAAAGTGGACTCCGTGCGCGCGGAATCAAAAAAAATTAATTAGTAGCCTATGTGTTCTACATCTATGCCAAATTTTAGTATCCATACAGCTGTTCTGGAGATACCTTCAAACAAACATTAATACATCCATCCGTCTAAAATTTATAAGATTAGTAATACAGTGAGATATATAATACAATTTTTGAATTTAAAAGATTGTGGTTAAAGATCAATAAATTCTTTTTACATATCCAAATCCTGTGTGAAATTAAAAAGGTAAAAGTTAAATTAATGTACATTGTAGATATTTCAAGCGTAAATTTATCTGTTCTTTATGTTGTGGTGATTTCTTTTGTTAACTCGACATGATGTTGACGAGTTGATGTTAATTTAATATTTGAATATTAATATCTTTTGCTACGACAAACATACGTATTTATCTTCTTATGCAGTTTAATTTTCATCATTTATAGATATAATTCGATCATTTTATAGTATAATTATAAGTTTGTTGCAATACCAAAACATCTATTCTAAAATACATCAATCTAACCGGTCCAACAATTTGCATGTCGAATTTTACTCTAGGGTCGAAATCGGCGCCCTGTTTGAATATGCATTTTGTTTGAAAATTTCAATAACTCGATTTAAAAATCGATACCATTTTGTGGATTCCGTTGATCTGTTATATTATGTTAATATTGAATTTGTCATACCTTTCTAAAAAGTGTCAATAAAAGCGTTGTACTTGATTATAAAAGATCCTGAGAATGTCGATATAGAGTATTAGATTTATGTTTGAATATCGATACTTATTTGTAGTTAATACATCGATATCGACAATCATCATCAAACTGGCCCATATCCCTACGTAGGGTCGGCATACTCCTTCACACATCTCTATCAGCCGTCATATCTGAATCTACCCCTTCTTACGCATTTACTTTTAAACGAGGTTCAGACAAAGCGCCGTCTGCGGCCACCTCAAGCCCAGTGAAGTGACTACTCAGTCGCAAAAAAAAATTTACGCATATACTCTTTCACACGATCCATCCATACTTTCTAATATCGGATATATATCGGTATCAGTATCAATATATTAAGTACGAAAAACTTTTTGCTTAAATTTTAATAAATAAATGCATTGATTCCTGAACATTAATGTACGTTGATACTGCACGGTTCGATGTTTCATACTGCAAGTGACCTCGTTTGCCCGCAACTTCCAAGTTTGCAAACTCTTTATCACTTGAGCGCCTACAACGTAACGGAAATATTATACAAGCTTTAAGAATATTTCTATTGGTAACTATAATATTATGTTGTTTGCATATTAAAGTAAACTTCTTGAAAGATATGCTTAATAGACATTTCTCTTACGTTACGTTACGTTAGTAACATTTTCTAATAATCCCAACTTTCACAACCATTCTATTGTCGGGGCAAGTGGCTGTAAACATCGCACTTACACCAGAGATTCAGATATTCCTGAAAGATAGAAGGGCTAACAAAGTAAGAAATTAATATAATTCATTTTTAAAAATAATCGACACTATCTCGTCGTATTTTTATATTTTCTTTTAAAATAGACAATTGGTCGCGCGACCAAATAGTTGTCATTGTGTACAAGCATTCAAGTATACTAGGCTCATTTTGAAGCGCACAAAACTCAACAATAACAGCCGTATAAGCCCGGATAAATTGACCCTAAACTGGGAGAGTAGCAATTTGCGAGATGAAGTGGAGAATTCATTGTATTCGTTGTTACTGCGCAATACATGTTCGATTTTTAAAAATTGTCATGGCAACCATTCAGGCTGGTTTGCCTCATTGTTTGAAAATATAGAGACCGAATAAAATCGTAATCATTTATAACTCTTTTTCATAATATTTTTCTGACATAAATTCAAAATAGTTTTTTTTTATTATTTTGAAGATAAGAACTGCGTATATTCAAATACAACTTGTGATATTAAAGTATTTATATTTGCGTTGTTTATAAAGTGAATCAAGTTTGCAAAAGATTAACCTGCGTATTTTACTGCGAATGGGATGTAAAAATGCTATCTAGCAAACGAGAAACGAACGAAGGTGGTAAAGATACGTGATATTATATGCTATAAAGTACGTCACCCGTATGGAATATATGAAATTATAAGATAAAATCTCATTTCATGACATGAATTAATCGTACTTACTTTTACTGCTTAATAGTGTTTTTTGAAGAGATGTTTTAAAAATTACCTCATTTCAATTTTATTACTAAAACCGAATTTAAAATTTTGATTCTTGAATTTTTTTTTTATAAAGTGTCATTTTTTTTGTTAAGTTAACTTAAGTAAATTTTACAATAACTAACCATTACAAAACAAATAAATTAATTTATACTATATTAAATAAACTATATACTAGAACTAAAATTAAAAATCGACCCAAAATTGCTGCGCTCGCACGGTAGTGTTCCCAAGAGGCTGGCGGCAATTTCCCGTTGAACGGCCAAAAAATGGCCGTTCTTGAAAACTATTCTTGAAAGTTAGTTAAATTTCTCTTTAATTCTGGTCATATAGATTTTGTTTTTAGTGTCACTAATATATATGACATTAACATTAAAATATGTGACATTAAAAACTCTTTCATGAAACTATGATTTTATTGAGCAATATAAAAATGAATTGTGGCAATAAAAATAAGATCTTCGAGCTCCATTTATTTGGCATTGTTTTCATGTCCAACTAGCGCATACAAATGGCAATAACTCCGTCAGGGTAATTGTTTCACTCACGACCGTTGAAAACGGTCGACCAAATTATATAAATTGAAAGCACATTCTTTTTTAGTTTTTAAGCGGTTCCGTATCGACCTACAATTATTAAGAGGTAGCTAATTTTTAGAGCATCGGTGGCTCAGGGGTTAAAGCACTTGACTTGTAATCTGCAGGTCCTGGGGTCGAATCCCGCCATGTTATTTTCTATTTTCGATTAACATATATACATTTATCTGACGTTCTTACGGTGAAGAAAACATAGTAATGGTTTACTATGGCCTAATCACCCCTAACTTAGGGTAGGGTACCAGCCCCTTGGTGGGGACGTATAGGGAGCTGATGATGATGGGTAAATTTTTAAGAAGAATTTGATATGCATAAATATGATACATAGGACTTATCTAAATTTTTTACGTTTGAGTTAATCTACGTAT